GGGACCTGTCAAAAAATATTTTGATTGTTTCTGATTTTGATTATTGATAAGGATAGATACTATTGAATAATATCATAAATTACCAAAAGAATATTAGCTGTGGCTGTACTTAATATAGATAAAATAACTTTGGCTTTGTTAATGATAATATTATTCTTGAATACTTGAATGAAAAAGAAAAGAAAGTGACTAATATTAGAGAGTTGGAAAAAAAGAAGAGAATTTAATAAAAAATAAGTATCTTTTAGGGTTTTTTTTTGTAATTGGGAGTATTAAAAGTTTCTTCAATTAAGTTATTAAGATGAAATTTTGGTTGAGGAGAGTTTTGAATAAATATCCATAAGGATGATATGAATGTGATTATAAAAATAATAAGATAGGAATTATTGTGATTCATATTCAAAGGGCAGTCTTGATATTTGGAAAGATTATTGGATTGGTTTATAAGATAGTATTTTTTTTTAAAAATAAGTTTTCTCTAAATTCTATAAATCTTTTGTGAGTTTTGATGATGATATAACTTGGGTTGACCAGTCAAAACATTAGTCTTGAATTAAAAATATGATTATATATATCCTTCAAGAAGAGAGTATTGTCAAAGTTTTCAAACCAAAGTGGCTCTAAATCAATTCTTATATATAAAATAGTTTGAAATTATAAGAGCTTGATAAAACTGTTAAATTTGAGTAATTAATTGACAAACTGGATATTCAGTGCATTTGCTATATGGACTGCAGTAATTTTGAAATTGCTCTTAAGTAATTTAAATAAGAAGCCAATAGAGTTTGAAGCATTGTTATTATAGAAAATGCAAATTGGAGGACACAGTTGAATTTTAAAGTTTTTTGCTACATGAGTTGCACTAATAAGTCAATTGCTTTGATTGAACTTTTCTAAATTACAAAGTGAACAAAACCATATTGATTCTTTTTTTTGTATTGATCTGATATTTTGGTAAAAATATTTTTTGATTGATAGGGTGGTGAGTTTGGATATTAGATTAGTTACAAGAGATGATCTTTGTCTTTTTTTAAACAGAGAGATTTTTAGATTTTTCTTGCTAACTAGAATAAGATTGAAACATCTTGAGGAGATCTTGTAAGTAGACTTGATAAGTTTGTTAATCTTTCTTTATAAGATATTTGTGAAAATAAGAGGTAAATAAAAAATACTCAAATTTTTCAAGTATGATCCATTTGATAATTTTCTATTTAATTTTTTCTTTCCAATTCTAATATGTGAATTCTTTTAAGATTTTATTGGTTGTTTCTTCAAAGATTTTCCTATTGAATTTTAATATGTGACAAGGAGATATCTGGATGCCCAGATATTTTATACTTTTAAAAGATTTTAGAACTTAAATAGATTGGTTGTTGAAGATAATATTGCAAAATAAGCTGCTTTTAATTGATATGTTATTGATTATCTTTGTTTTGTCTTTGTTATATGTTAGCCTATTAATTTAAAAGAATTGGTTTGCTGTTTCTAAAAGATTTTCTATCTTGTCTTTGGTGTCAGTAATTAATGTCAAGTTATCTATATATACTAAGTATTAAGAGCTATATATTTGATTATTTGAAATATTTGAAGAGTTTGGTGATAAATAAATTGTAAAAGATGACTCATGTAATTGAAAATAAAGTTTCTCCTTGTTCTATTCCATTGTTAACTAGAAAAAATTCTGTCAGTCCAGATAAAGTATGATTGATATTTTTCTATTGAAAAATAGGTTAACAATAAGTTATATTAATTTCTTTGGGCAGTTAATCCTTTGGAATGATTTTTGTATAACTGGGATTGGAGCAAAGTCGAAGGCTTTGACAATGTTCAAGAAGGCAAACCAGAATTCTTTATTATCAATATTTACAGCTTGGATTGCTGAGTTGACAATAGTTAAAAGTTTCATAATACTTTAATCAAGAAGGCTAGTGAAGTTAAAATCTGATAGTATTTGATTGTTTTTAAGAGTTTTGATAAATCTTCTGTTAATTATGCTAGTAAAAAAGTTTTTTTTGTAGATTTTATGAGAGATATAAATCTTGTGTTATTTAAGTTGTGGCTCCAGGTTATTTTCTTAGAAATTGATATGATAATAGTTTGCTTCTAAAAATTAGAGATAAATGTGAAATTGATGATTGATTTAAATATATTGTACAAAAATTCATGGACACTTTGCCTAAGAGTTTAATAATTTTATAGCTAATTTTTGACTTTCCTGATGCTTTGTTCTTTGGAAGTATTTTAATAGTTGATTCAAGAGTTGCCAGATTGATTGTTGAAAGTACTTCTTTATACAGGTCTTGATCTATTAAAAGAGGGTTGTATACTTCTTGCCACTTGAGAAATCTGTGAAGATTAAATAGTTACTGGTATAGAATATTTTGAAAGTAGGTATTAATAATGTCTTTATAACTTCAGAACTATTCTTAATTTGGTTCTCATGATTATGAATTTGTATAAAATTAATTTTAAATTTGATTTTGCTAAAAACCTTGACAATATAATTTTTTGGCTTGATATAAAAGTTTTCTACAATAGTTTCAAAGTTAAAATAGTATTTTTCAAGAAGTTTGTAATAAGCTTGAAGTAATTTTTCCTTAATTAGTAATCTTTTGAGTTTTTTGAGATCTTTTATTGATATATTCATATATTGGTTTGTATTAATATATAGGTCTTTAAGATTGCTGTTTAATGAGGTAAGTAATTTGTTTTTTTAAATAAGGATTATGGCTTAATTGATTTTTCTGGTTTGAGTTTTGAGATTTTATTCTACTTTGATATACTAACTTTTTCTGACAATGTTGACTTTGGTTTTTTTAATAAATTTACTTATAGAATCTTTAATGATATCACTGAGTTCTTTCCAGAATGCAGAGAAGAATAAACTAAGCCAGAGTTCAATGTCCTTAATAAAGTTGATTATATTTTTTTTTGTTGTTTTGTTGATATTGAATTTGTAGATTGTTTTGATTTTTTTGAATTTAAACCAATCTAACTTGATGGTAACTAATTAGTGGTTTGTCAGAATAGTGTAACATTCACTAACCTGGTACCAAATAATTTTAAGTGCTAGATTTCTAAATATCTAGACTTAATCGATATACAGTAGAGGACAAAAAAAATTGCCATCCCAAATTACATGATAACAAGCGAACTATTGCATCAGGCAATATGTAATTTACAGTGTAGATAGGTTAAGTTTTATTTTATTATCAGTAAAAAAATTAGTATGATATTCTTTCACCATTTTTCTCGATTACCTCCTGATACCTCTACTCCATTGACATTATTAAATATTTTAAAAGTGAGTTGGGATTTTTTCCCATTCTTCAACCATATATTCTTCTAACTTATTCAAATTATTTGGCATATGTTTCTTTACGTTTCTCTTGATCACGGCCTATAAGTTCTCTATGGGGTTCAAAGTTGGGACTGTTGGATGGCCAGTCAATAACTTCTGACACACTTTCTTGAAGAAAAGCCTTAGTGAGATGGCTTGTGTGCTTCAGATCGTTGTCCTGTTGCCACCACCACTGAGTACCAAGTATCCTCTTTACCTCAGATATATGCTTATGAAGAATGTCGACATAAAGCTTAGTATTCATTGTCTCTTTGAAACAGTGCAAGTTTGATTTTTCTTTTTCAAAAAACCCACTTCACACCATAATCTTTTTATGGTCCTTTGGAATAGGACTGTTTTTTCTAATTTTTTGATATTATAACAGATTGTTCTGATGGAAATCTTCATTATTGCATGTAATTCTTGGGTGTTGTGCACTCTCTCATTCCAATAATACAAAAGAACTTTACATTGATTTTTTTTTCCTTGCAACTGATATTTCATCAGCATATTTCAGCTATAAGCCGGAACATAATAGAATATGAGAAGTTGGAAAAAAAAACCTTAAGTATCTGTGACCTCAAAACAAAATGCAAATCATTACCAAGTTAGTACAAGAATGTATTACATTAAATTTAATTACATAAAAAATTAGTCAATTTTTTTTGTCCCCTACTGTAAAATGCACTTGTAAATATAAAGTGTATAAATGCTCTTTCATCAAATTGTTGATTACTGTCAATATAGTTGTTAAGATAGTTGTAAACAAATTGTTTGTATAAGGTTGTTGCTACTTCAGTTGATAGAGCTTTTTGAAATAAAAATTGAAGTCACCTATAATAATAAGATAAAGTTTAAATATCATAGTCATTTTAATGAATTGTTATAGAAGACTTTTTTCAATGTTGTGTGAAAGGTAAATGGCAGTTAAAAGAATATTAATTTTGCCTTTAAATTTTAGAATAATGGAGAAGCAAATTCTGAGATCAGTAGAATTTCAAATATATGAGAAAAAAAATCTTTTTCTATTATAAGGGCTGTTTTATTTTTTAATGAATCCAAGTTGCCATAAATAATGGATCTGTTATTAATATTCTTTGGATAAAGGTTATCTTTTTTTAATTTGGTTTCTATATAGAGTAAGATTGATCTGTTATCAATGGAATTAGAAAGAACTTGAAGTTTGATAATTTTATTAAGTTTTTTTGTATTAAGTATGGTAAAGATAATTAGATTTTGATAGTTGCAAAAGGTAAATATGTTTAAATTGTTATAAGTAGGTAAATAATTTAAGTGATTATCTGAGTGATATAAGAAAGAAATTAATTTATTATAAATAGAAATGAAGTTTGTTAAGAGGAGATAATTGGTATAGAGAAGTCTAGAAGATATATTTATAATGTGGTTATTGGTTTTTATACTTATAATAAAGAATTAAATTAAAAAGAATATGAGATCAAACTCTGGTTCAGAAAGAAATTCTGAGATAATAAAATACCCAGGAAGTTTATTGAATTTAAATATTTTGTAAATATCAGCAATGCTGACTAAAAGAAAATTGTTGTTTGATAATAAAATAATAATACATGACATTTTATTTTCTAGTAAGATTTGATTAATTTCACTAGGATTTTTTGATAATTGAATAAGTGGAATATCAAACCATAACTTAGAAATTCTTTGAAATTCATATTTGCCATAAAGAGATTTGATTATTTTTCTTAGATTTTCATCTTTTGGAAGAAATTTGCTGATGCCCAAAAAAAGATTGAGATCTGATATATTTTTTGATAGCCAAGATTTATTAGTTTAAAAAATATTTAAAAAGACCTACCGTGCTTCTAATGGTAATTGAAAAAAGAAATCTTTTTTAAAAACATTAATAAAAGTTTGAGTATTCTGCAGTTAATAATAGAAATTTGAAATGTTACTGATGTTAGGTGTTTAGAAATTGATAAGAAACTATAGGAAAGAGACTCCTTAGATATAATGAAGCATAAAGGAAATCTCTTGAAGAACTATTTGTTTCTAAGTTCTTTAACTATCATGTTTATGTTTTGAATAGATAAATCTATTGGAAACTGGTGTTAAAATTCAGGTGCCAAGTCTATAGGAAAGTCTGAAAGTGGAATTTTTGGTAAAGAAAAATTAAAATAAAATTCTGAGAATCTTGATAGGATGACAAATTGCTTTCTGAGCTCTCTTATTAAACTACTTAAGTTTTTTAGTTCATTTCATTTGATTATTGAAAACAAGGAAAGAAAGTTGTTTGGAAGATTGAAGAAATGTTCTGATAGTAGGGGTAAGATTTCAAAATAGAAGTCTGGAAGAAGATTGAACTTGTAATAGAATTACAATGATCTTGCAATATTTTCTATTGTACTTCTATTTGAGATATAAATTTTGTGAAAAATTTTTGCTTTGATTTTTGAAAGAATGAAGTTTGGATTTAATGAAAATGAAGAAAAATTGTTTTGAAATATTTCTTTATAGAGGATAAGAGTTTGAGACAATTAAGATCTTCTATATTCTCTGGATAGTAGAAATAATTGCATCTATAGTCCAGAATTTGTGTCAGTTAAAATAGAATAAGGTCAAATATATTGATATATCACAGGTATATACAGTGTGAGTCAAAATTATTGGAAAATCACTGCGGCGAGATCTGTATAAATTAAACTAACCAAACTCAGA